TTTTTTGTAATATATGCAGAGGAAATAATCCACGGGGCGTCAGAGGAGCAGGAGCAGTGGGACAAAGGATGCCAGGTGGGGCCATTGAAGTTGGTGTGTCTGTACCCAGCATCAAACTGCCCCGTGAGCCTCCTTTTCCTGGTGGAAGGGGGGCAGAGGGATGTTTGTGGATGGCAGTGCTCGCTCAGGGAGGCGCTGGCACCTCTTAAAGCACGGGCACAAACCAAGCACGGAACGCTTTTCCTAAAGCTTTGCTGACGGATGCAAATGATGATCGCGTTTCTTTGACAAACAAAACGGAGCACAAAGCATCAAATGAGTGTGATACTCCCAGCAAGAGCTTCTGAGCGGGTGTTGTCCCGGCCATTCTCACCCTGCCCTCCCCAATCCCCTTCTTCAAAGGCCCGTGTTACAAATCAAGACAAAACCGATTAGTGCTTAATTCCAGATATTAGACACCCCACCCCCCCACCCCCCCGTGAGAAGAAAGATAAATCCCTTCCCTTTAAACTAATGACTAAATGATCTCTTCGGGGATTAAAGGGATTTTTATCACCAGGATGATAAATGGCGTTTAGCAAAGCTGTCTGGTAGTGTTGGATAAATTGTAATTAGGGAGGAGGAGGAAGAGGTAAAGGGGTGGGAAGTGTTTTGGGGGGATCCACCACAGCACCCTCACTTTGGGAGGGGTCAGGACCGACTTACCAGGAAGGAGCAGAGGAAGATGAAGGACACAAAGTAGAAATAGGCAAAATCACTGCCACATTCCTTCTTGGTGAGGCCAGAGAGGGGGTCACAGGCTCTGTTGCTCAGGCAGGACAACATGATCTCGTGCCAGGCTTCCCCCGTGGCACTCCTGGGGATGGGAGGGCAGAAGTGAGTTTATCCACCCCCTTCCCATTGCAGACCCCAGGGGCAGCCACCTCACAGTGTTACTGTGCCTAATTAACTAAATTAATTAGGTGGAAGGTTGTGTCCAGGTGGAGAGACTGTGTTTACACTGGGAATTTGAATTACCAGCCTGCTGATGTGGAAAGGAAGGAGAATAACATTTCCCTCCATCACAAGGGGGTAAAAGAAACCAGACAGGCTGAGGTAGGCTAAAAGCTTTATTGCTTTTAGGGAGAATAAAACCAGATTGATTTCAACATGTCCAGTGCAAATCTAAGCAAACAGAGTTTAGATTGTTCCCTTTTGAAGCAGCCAAACACTTCTGTCCTAGTGCTGGCTCTAAACCCAGTGGAGATGATGGGAAATAAAATCGGGCTTCTCCACTTGAATCTCTTATTTTCTTTATCAGGCAGATAAATTCCAGCATGGTCTGGTTGGTCACAGTGACATGGAATCTCTTTTCTGTGCCAGTCTCCTGGGTGTTTTCATCATTTCCCTCCTCCCCCTCTAACTTCTGCTACTGAGAAAAACAGCCAAAAGGAAAAGTTTAGGAGTCCCCGAGGGTTTGTCCTCAAAAATAAACCACCCCCTGCAACGGTTTGGAAGTCAGGGGATCTCCACATATCAGAGTAATCTGATTCCTACCCCATCCCAATCCTGCTGCCCCTCAGTCCCACTGTGGCAGCCGTGGGCCTGTGAAGGGACCACGAGACTGAATAATTATCCAATTTTATTAAAATTCAGGGCTTTGAGCTGAGTGATTATTCTGAGCTAGAGAGGGCTAATTTCATTTCCATCTGGCTTCACAGAAACTATGGAAACCAAATCCCAGGCAAGAGATCCAGTTACAAGCTCCACATAATCTGCAGAGCTGGGGTTAACTGCGGGGAGGGGGGTGGTGTCTCCACACCCCCCAAACTGCCCTGAGCTGGAGCAGGGCCTGAACTTCAGTTTTGACCGGTCTGAAAATGAAAATCTAAGTGAAAAATTAATTGCTTGGGTTTTAATTGGAAAATGCTTTGTTTCCTTGCAGAATGAACCCAGAGGGAAACACTTGCACCTCCGAAGCAGAGGTGGGGTTGGTGGGTGAAGTGTTAACTTGCTGGCAATGCAAAAAAAAAGAAAAAAAGACCAATTTAAGGGATTCTCACTTTAAAGAAGAGAAAAACAAGCTTCAGTTATATGGGGGGGGGGGGGGCTGTCCTATATTAAGCTTGTGCCCGAGCTGACTGGGGTGTCACAGCCCTGGGTGACACGTTGTGTTGAATCAGATCTGCCAAGCACGAGGAAGCAGGAATGGCTGCTTTGCTCAAGAGAGACTTTCTTCCTGTTCACATGCAAGTCAGATGGGTGTTTTATACCCCCTTCTTACCTGAACAGAAGCATCAGGGCTTGGAGGAAGGTACGGAAGTTGTTGTGCCGATTAATGGAGGTTTCATCGTCTAATGCAATGTTCCCAAATACCTGCCACGGGAAGCAGAAGGGATTCAGGCCAAACACATCCTCCCATGGATGTTGTCAGGAAAGGTGGATCGAGTGGGAGTTGAATAAAAAGGCAGGGAAATAATTTGTCCCGGTTTAAGGGATCTCAAAAAGCTCAAATAATTCCTGTGCTGAAGAGGGAGATAGAAGTGTGGGGTGGAGGTCAAATGGGGGAAAACACCGGGTTAATGTGCTTTGTATTCACACAGGAGCTTCCCAACAGTTCAGCTCCATCCCAGGCCAACAAAACTTGAGTATTTGTTCTCAGAAAAGTGCAGGGTCTGGGCTGCTCCCTGTCTCTCAGCCTCTTGATGTGTTCGTAGCCAGGGGAAGGGACATCTCTTCCCATGGGAGACAGGGATGCCCACCCTGCTGCTGGAAATGCAGTGGTACAGGCTCATCCCCACACCTGGTGTGTCTGCCCACTCTCTTTGTACACCCAGAGCCACATTCAACTGAAAACATGACAATAAGAGTACAAAAAATGGCCTTTTTCCCCCCCACTTCTGATTTACCTGACACCAGATAAGAACAACCTTTTGCCTCGTCCTAAGTCAGCTGCTGACCCTGCTGTGCAGGCAATAACCCATCTGCACCCTGAGCAAACCCAGGCTGATGATGGCCAGAAGGAGGGCTCAGTTTTTTACCTGCATGCCAATAATGGCATAGATGAAGAAGAGCATTGCAATGAGGAGACACACGTAAGGCAAGGCCTGTGGGAGAGGAGAAGGTGGTGTTAAAGACAGCAAAGGCACAGCACCCAGGAGCGTTTCATTCCTGGGCAGGACTCTGTTTTGTGGCATTTGCCCTTCAAGGGAAGGAGCTGGGAGGAGAACACGAACAGCTCTGTCAGCCTTCAGAAGACAACCCCCTGGAGTCATGAATTCATCAATCCCAAAACAGCCAGGGCTTTCCAAGGGCTCTCTCTGTATATCCTTGCAAACAGGGAAAACACAATCCAAAGCTTCCCAGCGAGCACTGGAACTACCAGCAGGCACTGGCACTTTCTATGCATAATTGTATGAACGTTAATTTTTAATGACCTTGCTGTAAATGCAGTCTGAGGAAAGAAAAATACCCATCCCAGAAACAAGTTGCTGCTCTGAAAACAGGCCCAGATTGCAGTCCCAGGAGGACAAAAAGCTTCTGAGTTTTAGCAAGAAATCAGTGGAGGCTGGGATGTAATTATGTCACCCAAGCTGAGAGTGACAGCTGCTTTCCACTTGGGCTAAACAAATGGGTAATTAATGGCTTTTAATTAGTAAGAGCTGAAAAAAGGAGAAGTCTTGCCATAGGTCTAGTCCTTGTGGTGCTCGGGGCAGGAGAGGGGGTTATACAGCCATGGGGGGCCCAGTGGGAATCACAGAATCATAAAATATCCTAAGTTGGAAGGGACCCACAGGGATCACCCAGTCCAACTCCTGGCCCTGCACAAACACCCCAGCAATGCCACCCTGTCCCTCAGAGCATTGTCCAAACCCTCCTGGAGCTCTGGCAGCCTCAGTGCTTATCTTCCCAGTTTATGTCACCAAACCCCAGTGGCTCGGGGTTTGTCTCTGCCACCTTCCACCACACCCAAATCCTGGTGAAAGCAATTTCACCTTCCACTAGCTGCAGGCAGATGACAGTCACAAGGGCTGTCTTTATGCAAATGCTTGAGTGTCAGGACTTTTCCACGAGGGTTTTTGTGGTGGTTTCAGGGGCAACCTGAGCTCTGTGCGCTCGCTGGAATCTGCACCAGCAGCCTTTTGGGACTCATCTTCCAAAATGCAGCGTTCAGGGGGGTGGTCAGCGCTACCCAGTTCGCTTCCCTGCAGAATTAATATCCCTGTGATGGAATAGTGGTGCAGAGGGAATTCCCTTGGCCAGGGGAGCCGGTTGATCCACAGTGGAGGACTCCACGGATGGGCCGAGCGCGACCCAAGTCCCCGCATCTCTAAAACTCACCTTAAAGGACTGCACAAATGTCCAGAGCAGGATTCGGATGGTGTAGCCCTGGCGGAGGAGTTTGATGAGTCTGGCTGCCCTGAAGAGCCTCAGGAAGCTGAGGTTGATGAAGTTGTCCTGCGGAAAGTAAAGGTTTTGTGTCCTTCAGAAATTAACGCGCTCGGAAACCACAGCCCGCGAAAAAAGAAATTAAAATTACCAGCTTCACGATCTAAGCAGCAAATCGGCCACCAGAAAACCTTCCAAAAGAAACATTCGTCAGTGCAGATCACTCCACATGCAGCAAGAATGAGAAAATCCCTCTCCACAAGAGCCCTCCCCTCTGCTACTGGGTCAGTGACAGAAAAGGCCCTTTCGTGCTGTCCATGGAGGTCTGATTTGCTTTGAGAAAGGCAGATTTTCTCCCCCCAAAGACTCAGGGAGAGGGAATGGTGCCATATTTTCATTTTGTAAGGAGTGAGGTTGTTTGGACGTCTTGGTCAGCTCTGAACTTAAGCCAAGACAGGCGTGTACAGCCTGGAATGTAACAAAGAAAGGCATTGTCCAGTGAAGATTCAAACATCCTTGAAGGAGTGAGGATGTTTTCCAGCCTGGAGGTTTTATATATGTTTATACAGAGAGTAACTGGACAGATTCATCAAGGAGAAAGGGCACCAGAAAGACTTGCTGGGGAGATGGATCAATGGCAGCGAGTCAATTGGGGAGGTTGAGCTTTCAGCAGCAGGAGGATGCCTTAGGAACCTGCTGCTTTTTCAAATTGTCATTAAATGTGCCTTTGCAGGTGGATCAAAGAACTGCTGGAGACAGATTCAGATTTCCATTTGTTTTGGATGATTCTCCCCACCCCTCACCCCATTATTTTATTTTTTTTTTTTACTTTCCTTCAGGGAAAAGAGGTTTCTTGCCCCAATGAGCTAATCTAGAGAGGGTTCTTTCCAAAACAAAACATGCAAAAGCCAGATCCCTCTTGCCCTCCTATTTGAAGGAGATGAAAAATATTCCCCCTTTCCATACTGATCCCAATTCACTTATTTGTGAATCTCTGTTCACAGCCACTTTTTTGACTGAGTGAGCTAAAGAGAGAAAGCATCCCACTTCAAACTAGCAAGCAGTGAAGCAGCAAATATAATCATAAAGAGCTCTTGTTGGTAAAGATGAGCAAAAATAGTATTTCCCTTGTATTCTTGTTTTACCAGGAGACACCCAGTCATATTGAACTGACCCACGTTTCTTGCTCGTTTGGCTACAGAGCTCATGCTGAAATTGGGGGGCTTGTTGGATCTATTCATTTCTTGAAATGCCAGCTCAGTTTTTGGGGCCATTAGCATTGCATTCCACCAATCCCATCAAAGAGTCCAAGAAATCAGTCTCAGGCATGCACTCGGTCTCTCTCAGGTTAAAAACACAAGCAGCTCAGAGTTAGGCACAGACCGTAAATCAGACTCAGTCCTCAAAATAAAGAGAAAAGAGAAAAGCACAGGTATGTTCCATGAAAGAGCAGACAACACGGAGCTCATTCCAGTCAGCAGCAGGATCAGCTCTGGCAGGCAAAGCACAGGCAGGATTCCCCTGGGTTGTTGGAGGTCGGGAGAACAGGCACTCGGAATGGAACGCTCGTCTCGGAGCATCAGCTCGGCTTTGCTTCGCTCGTGGCTTACCTTCCCTTCACCAAACTCCAGCGGGACTCACCTTGGCACGTAAGGGCCCGTGGGGCAGAGCTGGCACTCAGCTGGATAACGAGGTGCCATCAGCTAAGCTGGTCCCTGTCCCCCTGTTCCCCCTGCGGGGCTGATGAGCTCCACAGGGCAAGGCAGAGGTTTAACCCAGAGCCTGCTTTAACCACATCTTCCCAGCAGTGAGAACTGGGCCAGACTTTATGTGTCATTCACAGCACTTTCAGGCCTGGAAGGCTGACAGGTTTGAAGCTTCAGAGCAGTGCTCAAGCCAGACCTTTCCTCAGCGCTCAAGCCTTACGCTCTTGTGAGGAGCACATGGACGGTGTCTGCAGGATCCATCACTCCCCTGACCCTGCTGTCCCTCCCTCTTCCCACGTTCCTGCAGCTGAACAGCAAGAACATTGTCTTGCTCAGACTTTGCTGTGGCCTCATAATCAGAGCTGACAGGATGCTCAACATCTGCTTTGGGCTGGGCTGCCTGAGAGGTCACGCTGAGCACGGGCTGTGCTTTACCCCTGGAAAAGGGCTCTAAATGGGAAAGGGGTTCAGAACTGTGTGGTGATGCCTGTAATCCCCCATTCCCTGGCATTTGGAGGGACAAACAGTCCGTACAGTTTTTACTCCCCAGCCTCTAAGCCTCCCTGTTTGACTCCTGCAGTTCCTGGATGGCAGTGGGATCACTCACAACCCAGGCAAATCCCCCGACACCGGGACGGCTCGAAGGACCGTTCTCTGTTCGTGGGGAGGCCAAACTGCACTCACTGGGGGTGGGGGAGAGGGCTCTGCATGTGCCACCCCCAGAACACCACGAGAAAACCCGTCCTTCGACACCTCAGCCCCTCCAGGCAGGAGTTAGAGTCACATGCAGCTGAAGGGGAAACTCCACAGTGCGATATTTCTCAGGTGGTTTGCATCCATTCTCCCCCCACTCAGCCACCCCTGTGATGCAACACAATGATTGTCCAGGTCATTTTTTCCCAGGTTTTTTGGGTTGCTTTCCTGCTGCACAGATGCTCGTGGCTGTCTGGTCCTCACAACGGGCGCCAGAGCTTTGGGATTGTGGAATCCACGTGACAACTCCAAAAATTGTGTTTGGAAAAGCATTTCTCCCCCCCCCAGCCTGGCCCTGTTTTCCTGAAAGAGGAAAGTCTGGCACTGAAGGTACCCAGTCACCAGCCAGGGCCTGGCACTGCCACCACTTCCCACAACAGGAGCTCAGATGAGGGATAAATCCCTGAACAAACTGCAAAGCAGGAGGGAAACAGGGAGAACAGACATCATGGATAACAAACTGGCTTTGATTGCTGTCCCACCACAGGCAGCCTCATCTTTTACCCTTTCTTAGGGTGTCTTCTCATCTTTTACCCTTTCTTAGGGTGTTTTCATAGAATCACAGGTTGGTTTGGGTTGGAGAGGAAATTAAAGATCATCTCGTTCCACCCCCTGCCATGGGCAGGGACACCTCCACTAGCCCAAGTTGCTCCAACCTGGCCTTGGACGCTTCCAGGGGTGGGGCAGCCACACCTTCTCTGGGCAACCTGTGCCAGGGCCTCCCCACCCTCACTGTAAAAAACATCTTTCCAATATCCCATCTATCCCTGCTCTCTGGCAGTGGGAAGCCATTCCCCCTTGTCCTGTCACTCCATCCCTTATCCCAAGTCCCTCTCTAGTTCTCTTGGAGCCCCTTTAGGCTCTGGAAGGGGCTCTCAGGTCTCCCTGGATCCTTCTCTTCTCCAGGTGAACCCCCCCCAGCTCTCCCAACCTGGCTCCAGAGCAGAGGGGCTCCAGCCCTCAGAGCATCTCCTTGGCCTCCTCTGGGCTCCAGCAGCTCCACATCCTTATTTTGTTGGGAGCCCCAGAGTTTTCCATACTGAAAAGCAGAGAAGCCATGAAGAGCAGGGTGTGCAGCCACTGCCTGGGGCTGCTCTTCCAGCACCATCAGCAGCAGAATGATCTCCTGCCCAGCACAGGAGCTGTGCCCACTGTCCCCAGGGGTGCAGAAAGTGCTCTGGGAAAAGAATCTAACCAGGGCAAGAATGGGATTGCTCAGGAAGCTTTAGCACTTCACCTGGCATCAACAAGAATTAACTTGCTCTTTTGAGGAACTACTGTCGAGGAAATGGCCTTGTTCCCATCTAACTGTCCATGGTGTTGCCAGAAGCATTCCTGAACCTTGCACAGGGTCCTGGCTTCCTCTGAAGCTCAGGGAACCCATTGCTGATTTTAAGAGGCTGAAGATTTTTGCCACACTTGGACTCTGCCACTGTGGTTACATCATATCAGTCCTTCCATCCTGAGCCTGGAATGCTGGAAAAGTGATTTTCTGTGTGTGATGCCCACATCTCTCCTCATTCCCTACAGAATATCCTGAGCTGGAAGGACCCACAAGGATCATCCAGTCCAACCCCTGGCCCTGCACAGACACCCCAGCAATCCCACCCTGTCCCTCAGAGCCTTGTCCAAACCCTCCTGGAGCTCTGGCAGCCTTGGGGCTGTGCCCACTGCCCTGGGGAGCCTGTTCAGTGCCAACCACCCTCTGGGGGAAGAACCTTTCCCTGAGATCCACCCTGAGCCTGCCCTGACACAGCTCCAGCCATTCCCTGGGTTCTGTCATTGCTCCCAGCCCTTCCAGCCACCACAGAAATTCCCTTCTTGGCTTGCACTGGGCAAATTTTAACTCACACATTGTCACTTTCTCCTTTGCTGCTTCCTAAGAAATCCCCTCCTTGTGACCCTCTGGGAACTTTGATGGAGCTTCTGTGCAGCCTGACATGAAGATCCACCCTGATTTGTGTCTTAACAGCAACGGTGCAGCAGGAAATGCAGATGTTACAGATCCAAGAGCCGTTGTCAAGTGGCCAAGAAAGGATTTTTGGTAAGCTTATGGTCTCCTTTGTGTTATTAACCATGGCCAAGATAATTAAGAATAGGGGAAAAAAAATATATATTTCGACTGCATTTTTCTTTATTCATTCTCTTTTGCTTAATTTATGATTTTCAAATACCAAGGCCAGGATTTCCAAAGGCATCTTTGGAATCAGGCACTGAATTCCCAGCAGGATGTGGCTCCTGGTACTTCTCAGCTCTGTTCATAACAGGATTTATGGTTTTGCAGGCCAGGGACTTCATGTCTGAAATAATTCTACAGGCTGGCATCACAGGGAATTTTCCAAGTGGGGCAAAGGTAATTTTTTCTATAATTTCAACCATTTCTCTTTTGATTTGAGGGAAGCAAGCCTGTCATCACTTCAGAATGTTTCTGCCTTCTAATTCAGGGCTTCAAATACCTGTAAGTCTTTATTATATTGTTTCTTTTGGCAGAAAGCATCTTGTTATAATGAAACCCAAAAACACTTTCCAAGGGCTGAATTTGGTGCCACCAGTTCTGAAGTGAAGCATTTCCCAGCCAGCCAATCTTCCCCACTCCAGCTCATCCAGGAGCATCATTCCCATCCCGTTTTCCATGGAAATAAGGCAAGTGGGAGTCTCCCCTTCAGCAGAGTGGGGGGGGAACAGAGAGCAGAGCTATTGGTAGCTGTGTTTGCCTCACATCACCAATTAGCCCAGGGAAGGAGGTGCAGAAAGAAGCCGGTTTGGGGCAGTGCTGCAAGTGAGGCTTTTTTCACCAGTGCAATCAGAAATCTAATCAAAAAGAAAAACAAAACAAAAACCAAACCAAAAACCAAACAACTTCTCAAATCAAAATAATAATAATAATAATAAAAAAAGAAAAACGAGAGAAAATAAAAGCAGAGGCTTGAAAGAATTGTTTAAATTCAATGGAACCAACCGTGTCCTATATGTGATGTTTTCATGGATGGATATTGGCAAGGTTTATTTACAAATTTGGGGTGGTTTTTTTTTTTGGTTTTGAGCGGCAGGTGCACAACATACAGACGGAGACATGGTTTTCGCATTGTATGTTGATTGGATGGCGTGATTTCAGCAGGTAGATTAAGGAAAATAAAGAACAAAACAGGGAAACAAAAAGAGAAAATGAGTAATCAGGACAAGCAAAAAAGGAAACTCTGAAAATATCACTGGGGGAAAGGAAACTATCAGATATCGGGGGAGGGGAGGGGGTGTTATTTTATGGGAATTATATAAAGAAAAAATGCTTCAAACCAAAACAGGTTCTGAGATCCTAAAGGTAACACACACAGTGCAGTAGTGATTTGCATTTCAGTTTGTAATGCAAATTGGGAGACAATTCACAGACACTTCTCAGGAGGGTTTGTTGGGGTTTTGTTATTGTTGGTTTTTTTTTTTAGTATTTCCAGGCATAGAAATAGACGACAGTTTGCCAAACTCCCACTCAGGATGTGTCCACAAGGACACCTGCTCCTTAAAGCCACCTGTTTTCCCTCGATTACTGAGAGGGTCAAAAAACCGACATTTGTGGGGTTTTTTTTGCCTAAGGAAATAATAAAAAAAAAATAAATATATATATATTCCACTACAATCACAAAGTAAATTACATATGACTAAAAAAATCAAAACAAAGCAATTCATCAACACATTTCTTTCCCTTTTGTCTTTACTTTTCCGTGGGTTAAAGGTACCGATGCAGCAAGGCTGGTGGAAGCCAAGTCTCTCAAGAGGAGACCAAACCCCCCAGGTGAGCGGGTTTATTTACCTTGGAGAACCCTTACAGCTGGAAAATACAGCCATGGGAAAAAAAAACGTGGTGCTTTGGTGAGCCTGATCTCGGTGTGACACCTGGAAAACAGCCCCTCTCCAAGGGGAGCTGGGGGGCTCCAGGGGCTTCTGGTGCAGGACAGGTGGAGACCGACAGGCTCGTGTTGTGGCTGTCACATGGACCTGCCAGCTGAGGAACTTCCATGGGATGGGTGACAAGAGGGCTGGATGCACAGGGAAGGACTAAAAAGAGCTGCCAGACCCAGCTGTGCCCAGGGCTGCCCATCAGCTGAGGGGAGGCTGGAGCCGAGGAGGGCAGGTGGAGAGGAGGGAACTCTTCTGCTGGGCACACAGCTCTGGGGGGTGAGGAGTCAAGACCTGCTCTCCTCTCTGGTTATTCTCTGCACCCTGAGGGAGCTGCTGCACCCCTGGTCACACCCTGAGAAAGGTGTTCATCCCCAGCCTGAGTTCCTGCTCTGCCTCACCTGAGAATGTGAAGAGGTTGGGAATACCAAGACAGGTTGGGCAGAGGCCGTGGGATAAAGGTTTGAGGCCACACTACAGGGCTGTGCTCTGGGAATGAGGCATCCCCCAGTCCTCCCTTCAGTCCCTGCTGTCTGCAAACACTGTGTTTCCATCACTGCATCAGGCTTTCACATTTTTAATTGGATTAAGTTGTATTTAAGTGACTCGGGTGCATCTTCAGTTTAACGGATATTACAGAGGTGGTTTAAAGTGCAGCTCTGCCAGAATATACCTCCATATATTTTTGGTGCTGAGAGGCGTCCTGACAGCTGCCATCATTTGCTGCCACTGGTAATTCTGTCAAAAATGTGATTTTGGGGGGCACCACTGCAACCCCCCAGTGGGGTGACTAAGCAGTGGTGCAGAGACCTGTGCATCAGTGTCAGCTTTAAGCAAACTAAGCCCCCTCAGCCCATTGTCCCTGCCTGAGGCTGGGATGGAGGTGGCAGGGGGTGCTGGTGGGGGTGGCAGTGCTGCTGCAGCTGGGGCTGGAGAGACATCAGGGAGGAGCTGTATGGAAGGAGTGTTGAAAAGCAAGTCTAGCAAGAAGGTGGGATGGGGGAGTGACCCCTGGACACTCTCTGTCTGCAGGGAAAAGCCTGTGGGAAGGAGACACGATGGCTCCACAGAAATCAGAGAATCAGGGAAGCTTTTAGGTTGGAAAAGATCTCTGAGATCATCAAGTCCCCAGCACTGCCAAGGCCACCTCTAAACCACCACATCCACACAGCTTTTAAATCCCTCCAGGGATGGGGACTCCACCACTGCCCTGGGCAGCTGTTCCAGTGCCTTCCCACTCTTTCCATAAAGAAATCGTTCCTAATATCCAACCTAAACCTCTCCTGGTGCATCCTGAGGCTGTTTCCTCTTGTCCTGTCAGTTGCTACTTGGGAGAAGAGACTGACCCCACCTGGCTGCTGCAGAAGGGGAATATTTAGAGAGAGCAGAGCTCAAGCAGGTCTGTAGACACAGACAGAGGACCAAGAGAGGAGGAGCTGGAGTGGTACTGGGTTTTATGTGAAAGGGATGTTTGTGATCAGCTCCATTTTGGACACTGTGGCAGGGGAAGGTGTCAACCTGCATAAGAAAGTCTTCTCTAATGTTTGACTTTAAGGATCTGGCTACTCATAAACCAAAAACCTCTTCTTTTCCACCTGGGAAGAGAATGGAAAGGCAGATAGGTGCTTGGGAGCTTGACCCTGTTGGAGTTACTGGCTGGTTTTAGGGGTAATTCACTCCAAATTGCTGCTGCCTTCGATGCTGGAAACCAGAGAAATCCCTGCAGAGGGGAAGGGTGATGCCATCAAATTCAGTGATGCCTCACAGCCCAGCCTGATCAGCCCATAAACAACTTTCCAGATGCCAGGCACCCTCACTGAGGCCATCCCGTGGGAGCTGGAGGGAGAGGCAGTGGCAGGGAATGGGCAACACCCATGGCTGCAAAACAGCTCCAGGAGGAGGATTTTAAGAAGCAGCACGTGGGCTTGGTGTTGTGAAGGAGACACCTTCCTGAAGGGGAAGACACCAATCTCAGAGAGAGCAGAGGCTCCTCACCCTCCCAGGAAAAGTGGCCAAAGGAGGGTGGAGGAGAAGTGTCAGCCTCTGCTCGTGGCTCGCTCGCGAATCTTTCCACAAATTTTCGAACCGCAGCAAAAGTTTGGCAAGAAAACATATCCCATGGCAGAGGGAGCGGAGACAAGCACCCAGTGCCTTCCCACAGCACTCAGAGAGGTGGCACCCAGACTTTGGGTATTGTTCTGAGTAGTTTAAACCTGCCTGCACTGAAAACAAAAGCCAGTTCAAAGCCTGCGGGAGGATTCACCAGCTGGTAAATGAACACTTGTATGGGGAGTAAAACTTTGGGGTTTGTGTGGGTTTTTGTACCAAGGGTAGGTAAAAATGTATTTTGTTAGGAGCAGTGGTATGGTCTTCACCACCATCTGTAAAGAGCACATTTCTTAGCACACACAGAACAGATCTATCAGCAAATCCCAGGAGACTGAGAGAAAAAAAGTTATGGCAGAGTTCAGATTCATCACATACAGATACAACATGCACTGGGAGAGGAGAGGAGCAATTTATAAATTGGATAATGTCAGGGTGTCGTGGCTGGAGTCAGAAATTTGCTGCCCTTATGGAAAAACCCTTTAGAATTTAATAATTTCATGGCAAGTCGTGTGATCTGCTGGGCTCATTAGCAGGGAGACAGCTGTCCCTGTAGGGCCGGCCAGAAATCCTCTGGGAGAGTTGTTGGGTTATTAATTTTAATTTGTTTATTTAATTAATTGTTTCTTAATGGCCCCACGGAGATTTGTGCATGTGACAGGAACACTCCCCCAGCCCAGACTGTGTGGGATCTCCATTCCCATCACCTCTCCCCTTCTCACTCCTCACCCTCACCCTGCCCAAGGCAGGGCAGGAGCCCCGAGGGCCACGAGGGGGGCGTGTGTGTGTGCGCCCTGCAAAGCACCTCACACCCTAACACAGCAGAGCCCTTTGGGGGCTTTCCCCTCTATTAAATTCCACAGGATTTTTCCATTAATAGGCAAAAAATGGCCCGGGGACAGATTTGCTGAAGGAGAAAGAGCTGCTTCCTGGCAGAGGCAGTGGCACTGCCGTTCTCATCAGAGCCTCTCACACGAGTCTTTGGGGCAGGCAGCTGTGCTCAGCTCCCTGGAAAGAGCAGAGCTGATGGAAACAGGCTGCCAGGTCACCCAAGGACATCCCAAATCCCAGAGGCAGCTCTAGGGAATAAGGCTGGTAGAGGGAGAGGGTGCAATGTCTTGACAGGGCCCGGCTTTGTTTGCAAATGGAGCGAACGGTACTTACCGCAATCTCTGTTACTAAAATATCAGTAATACTTCCCAACACTGTGACAAAATCAAAGACATTCCAGGCATCTCGGAAATAATTCTGCCAAAGGAAAGCACAAGGGGGATGGGGAGGGATAGAGGGAATCCAGGGGTTATTTTCTTGGTTGTTTTTTGTTGCTTTGTGTTTTTTTTTTTTTTTTAGGGGGAGGGCTTGTTTTTAAATGCACGTGGAGAAAGGAAGGGGGCGAAGGTAAAGGAGGAAGGCACGTACCAGCACACCAAAGGCAATGATCTTCAGCACACATTCCATGGAAAACATGGATGTAAACACGATATTCAGGCATTTCAGCATTTCTTCATATGCCTCCGGAGCATCATAGAACTAAAGCAGGACGGAAGAGAAGCTGTTACTGGAGGATCACATGCAGGATAAAACCTTTCCCATCTGGCTTGCTCCTACGAGGTTCAGTGTCAGATTTTGTCTCACTTTAATTAAGATTTGGGGTTGCAAAAAGTTATTCATGTCTCTCCAGAAGGACACCTTTCCCTACATCCTATCCCAGCTGGAGATATCCCCAGAACTGGAGCTGCTGGTGGACATCCCCCTGTAGACACAACATGGGCGAGGAGGGAGGAAGGGCATTTTCCAAACCAGAGGACAAGTGCAGCACTGTGTTTCATTACAGAGGACCCTAAGAATAAGGTGACCCCATGACTGTGAAGATACTTTAAGACACGCAAGGGAGAGGAGGGGACATCATCCACAGTATGTCTCCACCTGCAACTCTCTCCTGAGCACTGTGGATCACATCCCAGAGTTCTGATGATGTCGCAAAGTTGAGTCACTTCATAGAATCACAGGATGGTTTGGGGTGGAAAGGACCTTAAAGTCCATCTCAATCCACCCCCTGCCACGGGCAGGGACACCTTCCACCAGCCCAGGTTGCTCCAAGCCCCGTCCAACCTGGCCTTGGACACTTGCAGGGATGGGGCAGCCACAGCTTCTCTGGGCAGTTCTTCCCAATATCCCACCTAAACCTCTTCTCTTTCAGTTTGAATTTCCTTGGCATGAGCGGATTTTGAGCATCCCCAAGACATGGCCCTGCTCTGCAGCAGGAAATCCAGCTGAGCTGGAGCTCAGGACCTGCAGAGCTCAGTTCCCACTCCACTGAAGGAGCCAAACCAACACCCTGCAGGGGAATGTTCACAGGATCCCACCACAGCTGAACCACCTCCCTTTGGGGTTCATGAAGGAATCCCACCAGGAATATGAGGAGCAGTGGTTGCTCCTGTTGATAACCCCTCCCCAGCTCTCAGGCCAGGAGTACAAATCCTCTCCATCCAACACCACATTCAGCACCCAAAAATTGCCCAGGATTCAGTTAAGATCCCACTGACCTTCATCATGAGGACGATGGTGTTGAGGGCAATCATGACCATGATAAAATACTCGAAGGGAGGGGACACCACGAATTTCCACATCTTGTACTGGAAGGATTGCTTGTTCTGGGGCATGTACCGGGTCAGGGGCTTGGCACTTATGGCAAAGTCTATGCAGGCCCTCTACAAAACAGAAATGGGGTGAAAAATGACAGGAAAAGGGCTGGGAGTCTCTGTCCCTCGGGATATGGTTGGGAGAGCGAGCAGAGAATTCAGAGGGTGGGATTTTTAAGTGGCTGTTCCTGTAAAATCCAGCACAGAATCCCCAAATCATGCCAAATGTTGCTGGAATATTAAACCCCCCCAACACTCCTATGACCCCCTGCAGTCCCAAGAGACCACCTTCCATCAGATCCCAGCTCCTGGTAGGTTCCAGTCCCTTCCCTAAGTGGTTTTAAATCAATGGGTTCACTCCTGAAAACACCAAATTCCTCCTGATGGGTAATTGTAGAAACAAGGGGGTACAGCTCAGAATGTTTCATAAAATGTGGACTGAGCCCAACCAATGAATTAACCACCAAATAACTCTGGGTGAACTCTAAAAGATCCCCTTAATTGGCTATTCCTGCTCAAATTATTAGGAATATAACACTGCATTAAAAATTGGTTTCTACCCACAAGAAGTTTTGATTCTGGAGGATTTAATTGTCCCATTTTCAAAGCCTTATAACACTGCACTTTCTGCTCAGTTGAAAAATAACGTGGGTGAAGCATCTCTAAATATTCTGCTTTATTTTGGACTTTTTTGTCATATGGACAAACGAGGAACTAATTAATAATTGAATAAAAATTCATCTCTTTTCATCAAAAATCAGGTTCCACTTTCAAGGTACATGAAAAGAGATGGTTCTTTGCAGAACAGGTCGTTGAGGCTGTGGGACCCCAGACAGAGGATGTTGCAGATGCTGAAAATCTGCTTGGGTTCAGAAGGAAGCCGGATACATCCAGGGAAGGAAGATACACAGATGCCACTACCTAAATTAAAAACGTGTCCAGCTTGGGACATTCCTGACCTGAAAATGATGGGATTTGCTGGTGCTTCAAGAAAAGCCTCACAGGGTCTTGCCTTGGTTGTACATTGTTCTCAAGGCATCTACTTTTGGGGGAAATCATCTCAGCCAAGCCCAAAGCCAGCCTGGGGAGAGGAGCTTTCTCTGGGGAGCCAAAACAGTTGTGGTTTGGTTTCTGAAAGGCCAAAGATTTGTCTCCTTTCACACCCACATTCTTGAGCAAACATGGAATGCAGGACTGGTTTGGGTTGGAAGGGACCTTAAAGATCATCCAGTGCCCCCCCCTGCCATGGGCAGCGACACCTTCCACTGTCCCAGGTTGCTCCAAGCCCCGTCCAGTGTGGCCTTGGACACTTCCAGGGATCCAGGGGCAGCCCCAGCTTCTCTGGGCAACCTGTGCCAGTGCAGGTCCATGGTCTCTTTGCAGCAGAGGTGTGGCCCAAGGGGACATGTGACAGTGGCCACTTGGGGGCTATCCCTGGCTTTGTTTCTGTGCAAAAGCTGACAGTCAGTCATTTGTTTGGTCTCCACACCTCAAACCCTCAGATAAGCACTGCTCTCCACCCCCCATGGCACAGGTGAGATGAAGAGGGAGCTTCCACTGGTGCTCTGAGCCCCCCAGGTGCCAACTGTGCATTCCAAAGCCGTGGGTACCTCGTTTTTCTCGAGGCTGCACTCTGACATCACTTTATCTCCTTGCTCTTGGAAGGTGATGATGATTAAAGCCACAAAGATGTTCACAAAGAAAAAAGGGAAGACAACAAAATACACCACGTAAAAGATGGACATTTCCATCCTGTAGCCAGGGCTGGGACCCTGCTCCTCGTAGGTGGCGTCCACCGAGTGCTTCAACACGCTGCAATCAAGGGCAGAGAGAGGAGAAAAGTCACCAAAAATCACCGTGAAGCACCTCAAAGTCACTCACTGGCCTTCACTCAACGTGGAGGGTTGTCCACATATGCTCAGGTCAAACC